GTCTCACTACCTGAAATCTACTTATACAAAGGAAATTTGGGCTCATCCAATTTGTGTCAGGCCGCAAAGAGCCGTCCAATTCTAGCATTCTTTGCCGGACGGGTCCATGGACCTATCCGGCCCATTTTGCTGGATCATTGGAAGGACAAAGATGATGAAGTTCAAGTCTATGGGAAGCTTCCCAAGGGCCTAAACTACACCAAATTTATGGTGCAGAGCAAGTTTTGCTTGTGCCCTAGTGGATTCGAAGTTGCAAGCCCAAGAATTGTGGAGGCAATATATGCAGGGTGTGTGCCCGTCTTAATTTCTGACAGTTACACATTGCCCTTCAGTGATGTGCTTGATTGGAGCAAATTTTCAGTGCAAATTCCAGTTGCTAAGATACCGGAAATTAAGACCATCTTACAAGCAATTCCATTCGACAAATATCTAAAAATGCAGAAAAGGGTGTGTAGGGTTCGTCCACATTTTGTGATAAATAGGCCGTCTAAACCGTTTGATGTGATTCACATGATCCTTCACTCAGTGTGGCTGAGACGACTTGACTTTAAGCTCGAGGCTTAATTGTATGTATCAACATAATTTCCCCCCCTTTGCTCGTTCTATGTAAAACTGAAGCCAACAATGAAAACTGGGCCAATTGGTGACCTGGAATTTCATAATTACTAAAAAAAGTCACCTTGTTTTCGATATTGTCATTGTCCTTCTTTCATATAAAGACATGTACAAGACACAAATTTGTCTGCAAATTCCTTGTGAGGCAAATGAGTTAGTGGCTATATGGATTTGAGTTCTTTCCTTGTACGAAAGAGAAAATACTCTTCAGCAAAAATTCAATTTTAAATATTTACAATTCTCCTTTAATACCCTGATTTGCCAAGATTTTGTATTCCTAATGGGTTTGGGTTTCATATTCATGTCGAGAAAGGGAGATTACATACATAAATTGGTACATGATTGTGTAAACTTAATTTAGAATTCAATAAAATCTCAGAGATCTTATCATCTTGTTACTGCATGACATATATTACTCTAGGATTAGTATTAATACAGACACAAAGCGAAGAAAAATCACAATCTAAAAAACCAATGAACCCTCTCTCTCTGTCGCCGACCTCTCTCTCCAACTCTCAAATTATTTTTACAACAAATTCAATATTTTTTGCCAATATAGGAAATATATTGCATAGAAACAAATCCATATTTTGATTTGATGTCATTAATTGTCCTATAGGGCCTGAATCGAACACTTTCTATTTATAATTTATCATATCAGATATCACAAGCTCCACGTACTAAATTTTACTTACCATAACCGAGCCCTTCGAGGCCTTTCCTGTAAGTATTTCACGATGAATCATAGTTAATTGAGCAGATGCTATCTATATATGAATCAACAACCAAAATCACTTCACTTGTGCGTGCACGACTGATTATAGCATTATTGTAATTAATCCATTAACGTGCCGAATCAATTCACTCCCCATACCCTGATAGTGTGTCCTTTCTCCTCCTCCTCTCCCTCCCTTATTTTTATCAAAGAAGTGAGAAAGAAAGCACATCCATGGTAGAACTTGGCTTTTCTACTCACATCGTTACTGCACTGCTACCAACTCTTTCTGTTATCCTTTTATTTATCTTTTTCTTATCTCCATTAAACCAAACCAACCTTACCAATATTATTTTCTCGTCACCCACTCCCATTTCCGGAATCAAAATTATCCATGACACCCCTTCATCCATTTCATCACCACCTTCATTGCCATCCTCACCAACTTCACCGCCGCCGTCTCTGCCACCATCGTTGCCGTCATATTTGTTGCCAACCGATGAATCAAGGAGTATCAATACTTGGATAGTGAAGGAGGAACGTAAAAAAGTGAGCCGCGCAATAGTATTCCTTTTCTATTTTACTTTAATTAAATATTTTTAGGCACATGAACATGGGAAATGATTTTCTCGCTCGTCTCTTATTTCTAACCACCAGACTAAATAAATCAATGATCAAGGAACGAAAACAAGCAGAATAGTGGAGCCGCATAAAAAGGAGTGTGAAAAATATTCCCTCATGAATATATACGTAAATTTATTAATTTGTTTTTGTCACTGATTCCAATTTTCTATTGTTTTTTAATAGAAAATGAGTAATTTGGAGAGAATAGAAGCAGGTTTGGCCAGAGCAAGAGAGGCGATCTGGAGAGCAGTCCATGAAAAGAATCAAACGTCTATTTACAAAGAAGATGAAGAGGTGTTCATCCCAAAAGGATCAATTTACAGAAATGCACATTGTTTTCATCAGTTAAGTTCTAAACACAATTATCCCTCTATGGTTGATTTTCTATCAGTCATATTTTTATTTAATTGTCATTATTGGGGTTTGACTGTATAAAGTCATAGGAAAAATTAATGTTTATAGGAACATACTCTGGATGTTTTAATGCTAATTTGATTTACATAAGAAAGTTCTAACATATCAAATGAAAATTCTAACACTTCACATGAAAAAACGGTGCCACATGCTACTCGTTAGAAACTGTGGACCATTGATTGGAATCATGAAAAATAATTCCAACTACAGTAATATTTCCATTAATTCGAAATAAAATTACTGATTTGTGCCAATTTTTCCCATATTCAACCATTCGGATTTACCATTTTTGTGTGTCCTCGTCACCACTGATTCAGCATTCAGTTGGTGCAGTAAAACTTTCTACTCGATGTTCATTAATCTGATTCAAATTTACTAAGCCTATTTTACGCATTGCTGTCGATTCCTTTGCCTTGATTTCATACCATCCAGGTAGATTGTATTTTACACTATAAAATGTTTTCACCTTAATCACTGCATTACTCAGTTACCTAATCGATTTACCTATTACGAAATTTACGCAGATGAAACTTGATAACAAACTTTTAATTGAAAATAGAACCCAAATAACAGTAAGACAGTAATACAGATACACTAAACGATGATTTATATGCAGATTATCAGTTCTATTGAAAGTTTGTTACATAGTTTTATTTGTGAAAGTTTTATTTATCTATTCTGGGTGTGGTATGTATTTCTTACATGTGACGTGCTTAAATTTCAGTTAATAAGTACTTAGCACAAGTTCATTATTTACCCAAAAATTATAGAACTTTGTTATGGTAGGAATGAGTATGATGCATGCTCTAAAGTCTAACCAAGCACTGTAATGATCTGTACGATGGATTAGGAGCTACGCAGAGATGGAGAAAAGATTGAAGGTGTGGGTTTACAGGGAAGGAGAGCATCCCTTGGTTCACACCGGGCCCTTTGACAACATTTATAGTGTTGAGGGGCTGTTTATCGACGAGATGGAGAGCGGGAAGAGCCGGTTCATGGCTCACCATCCCGACGAGGCACACCTATTCCTCATCCCAATCAGTGTATCCAACATCGTCAATTTTCTGTACAGGCCTCTTGTCACATATAACCGTGATCAACTTCAAAGGGTTGTTATGGACTATATTGGCGTTGTAGCTGAAAAATACCCTTATTGGAATAGAAGCCACGGTGCTGATCATTTCTTGGTTTCTTGTCATGATTGGGTATGCCTCCTTTACTCTTCTAGATCTTTCATTAGTGTAAAAAAAAAAAAAAAAAAAAAAAAAAAACAATTTGTAACTTATGCAAAAGATATATATATATATATATGCGATGAGTATGACCGTAAGTAAATATGCTATAAATAGTTTATTTGGTCACTATACATCGTCGTCTATACGAAACAAACTAATTATGTTGTTAGTCTTAAATTTCAGGCACCAGACATTTCACAAGCTAATCCCAAGTTCTACCAGAACTTCATTAGGGTTTTATGCAATGCCAATACATCAGAAGGGTTTAAGTCCCAAAGAGACGCCTCCATTCCAGAAATCAACATACCGTATGGAGAACTTGGTCCAACTCGGCAAAATACAAGCCTCGACAAGGGTTCAATCCTTGCCTTCTTCGCCGGAGGATCTCACGGCCACATAAGAAAGATCTTGCTGGAGCATTGGAAGGACAAAGACAATGAGGTGCAAGTGCATGAGTACCTAGAAAATAAGGAAGACTACTTCAAGTTGATGGGTAAAGCCAAGTTTTGCTTGTGCCCTAGTGGGTACGAAGTGGCAAGTCCAAGAGTAGTCACAGCAATTTCTATGGGATGCGTCCCCGTCCTCATTTCTGACAACTATTCATTTCCCTTTAGCGACGTTCTTGACTGGAGCAAATTCTCAGTGTACATTCCGTCGAAAAAAATACCCGAAATCAAGACGATCTTGAAAGAGATTTCGCACTCGAGGTATTTGGAACTGCAAAAGAGTGTGACGGAGGTGCACCGGCATTTTACGGTCCATCGTCCTGCTCAGCCTTACGATATGCTTAATATGGTGCTCCACTCTGTGTGGCTAAGAAGACTCGATGTTTTGCTGCCTTCTTGATTTGCATATACTTGAAATTTTTGTTTGTATTTAGTGTTACAAAACTTCATAACAAGTTATATATTTATCGACTTTCATATAACAGAAATGTCAATATTACAATAATTGAGTTCTTTTTGTACGAGATGTGAAAGAAAACACATGATAACATGTTGATTTAGATATTTTCGTAGCATATAGTCTTTTCAATACATATTATATAGTAATGACTATAACATCGTTACAAGCAGTGCCTCCAAAAAACTGTTATGATGCTAACAAAAACACATTTCTATAATTATACTAATGTAAAACTTACGAGGGTTTGCGACCTAAACTCCTTTGCATCTAAATTCGCATTCCTTTTAATAATACGGTCTAATAATATCCATATTCACTCGTAACTGAGAAGTTTTATATTCGAATCTTATGAATGACAAATTTACAATCAATTTATTTGTCCACTTCCATAGTATAAATATGTTGTTGTATCAAAAGGTTCGCATCTCTTTTGTGATTTAAATTAAATTAAGCTTAGACTAAACTATTACTAGGAAACAGGATGATGATTACCAAATCACACCCGACCCATAACCCCTAAAGTCCCCGACCCACCCAACCAGTCCACGCGCACCGTCTTCCTTCCTCGTTTTACTTTCTCAAGGCCGGCAAAGTGGGCAGCAGCAACCTTCAAGTTAAACCAAGAGGACTGATATTCCAACGCAGCGGTGGAAAAAAAAAAAAAAAAGCATCTGCAACGATGGCCGGGAGGACTAGTGCAGAGGAAGCTATTGCGAACCTCTCCTTACCCGACCGCGGCACCCCCATTCCTTCCGGCGATCAAACCGTCTGGGCCGACGTCTCGCCCCTCCTCGACGCCGCCTGTGAAGGGTCTGTGCTTTTCCCCCTTGTTTGCTTACTCTAAACTTAAATCTCAGCTTCTCAGCTGCTCTGGTTCCCGAGAAAATGAAGGAAAATAGAAAAGTAAAGGGATGAAAATCAGAAAAAGCTTATTGTGTTTTCATATAATATAAAGTGTTGGACTTTCGAATTCAAACTAAAAGAATTTACATAAAGGATAAAACTTGAAGTGATCAGAGTAGTTTAATCAATATTTGCAATTTAATGTAACTGGATTATATGCAAAAATATGTATATATATATATATCTGTGTTGTGAGTGTGCGTGGTTAATCGAGAGCAGCGGTATAGTTTCCATTAGTTCAATACGATCCTAAGGTTTTGTGGTTTTTCTTGAAAACATTGACTGTATGCTGTGTTCGTATGAAGGACAAAGTTGAATTGTGTTAGTGTTTTCGCACGGTTAAGTGTTGCGAGGGTGCCTGGATGGCAAAGCTTGAGTCATGGAAACGTTTTATGATGTTAATGTGGGTGGGATTTTGAACTTGATTGACGTTCTACCCGTTTCTTGGCTTGTTATGCTTCATTTGTTTTGCTTTTTGATGGATTTTGGTCACAGATCTTCAAGATGGTATGCTCATTAACGGAGATAATTTCAATCTTTTTGCTGCCATGTCTGCTTTAGAGGTAACACATTATCGGCAATGTTTTTCTTATTTTTTATTTGTACATTCAGCATTGTTGTATTGTAGACTGAATAATTCACGCAGAATTCAGTTATGATCTTTGAATAAGTTGCTGGGAAAATTTAATTGGAAAATGTGTTTTTTGCTTTGTATCACGTGGTGGATCACCATCAAGGGCATTAAGAATTAAAGAGTTGCACAATCCTTCTATAACCTATGCTGTAATGGTTTTGCATTCTCTTTATACTGATGTTGGTTTTCAAGTGTTTTCTTTGTCTAATTTAACATTTCTGTTTGTGCTCCTTATTAGATAATGGACCCGAAGATGGATGCTGGTATGGTCTGTAAATATTACTCTGTTGATGAAGCAATTGATGATGGTGCTGCTCCTGTTCCTATTAGCTTTGATAAAACGGTTGACGTTCAACGTACTATTGATATCATGGATCATCTTCTAGCCTGTGAGGTATCTGCCACATAACTTTCTTTAACTGCTCTTTAGGCTTGAAAAGCAATTTTTATATATTGTTAACTTGCAGTAACGCTATTATATGCTCCTTCACTGCTACATAACTTCCTAAGTTCGTAAACCAAATTTCCTTCTTTTCATGAGTGCTGTTTATTGTAAAAGATTAGGATTGCTATGAAATTTACATAGACATCAGTGCTACTTAGGATCTTAAGTTTTCTTTTTCCTTGTTATTTTTTGAAATCTATTCATGATATATGTTTTAAGACACTAAACTTCCCACTGGAAGTAATCTGTGCTATCATTTGTTTCTCTGTATTACAGTCTTCCCTTTCCTTATGTTTCTATATGTAAATCTTCAAATGGCAGGCAACATGGCACAAGGGTCATTCATTGGCACAAACTGTCTTCTCGTGCATCTATCTTCTCAGGCTTGATAGGACATCCTCACATTGCCTTACTGCATTCTTATTGCAGAGTCATACGAGCAACCTGCAAGGCTGTCATTTCAGTTGTCTCAGATGCACGCACTCATGAAGTAAAGTATTTCAACAGCTCTTTGGGCCTATGCTGTTTCAGTATTTCCATTAAGTTGTAGTAATTTATCTTGTGCATATGCTACTTTAGTCTTTGTTATCAATACCTAACTGCTTCCAAGAGTGCGTTGTAAATGATTGTTATCCTCAGTGTGAATTCTAGTTTCATATTCTGGGGACAATACAGTGCATTTTGCTTTTCAAGCCTAGTCTTTGAATAGTGGCTTGCACTGGAGAAATACTTTTATTTGTATTAGTTATCAAACTTGTCTCATTGCAGGAAGAAGACCTTCTTACAATGACATATGGTCTTCCTTTGAATGGGGATGGAGATGAAAAGTGCTTGTCAATGCTACATGCTGTTGAAGAAACAATTTCCCGCCAATTACGTGCCTGTAAAGCACCATCATCAAAAACCCGAGTGTTAGAAGGTAGATATACATTCACTTTCGCAGTAATATTACTTTATCTTGAATTATAGCTTGGAACAAGGCACCACCATCATCATATACTTGCTTTTCGTTGCAGACTTGGTGTCACAACAAAATAATCCTGAATTGGAGGAAGGCTACTGCAAAGCTTTGTTATGCCGCTTACGCTTTCGTAAGGTCTTACCCTGTGTTCATTTATCTTGTATTCATCTGGGAACATGTCTATTCATTTGAATATTTATGCCCCCATGTTGTATAAAAAGAGCTCTCTTCTTCTTTCAGCATTTTTACCATGTCCTTGTATCTATGAAGCGGCCTCAAGGAAGAGGATTGGAGTTGGCAAGAAAACATATAGCGTCCTGCATATCTGAATTAGAATGCATTCTTAGCTCTTCAGAGTTCCTTAGATCTAGTACTTTTGGAAGTCAAGAAGGCAACTTAGAAGATAAAACTACAGCTTCTGGCTGTGAACCAATTGGCTTTGATGCTAGTTTAAACTGTAGATTATCTGCACCTACACCACCACGTGCAATAAAAATTCTGAGTTGGAAAAAGGTGAGCATGAGATAATTGCTACCGATAATTGTAGTAGTTTACTTCCACTATTGTAACATTTTTGCTTTGGTTTTGTTGTGCCAGGCTGTTGAATACTTTATTAAACTTCTTCGTGATCTCGATGTTATATGTTCCTACCAATTAGACACATCATTAGAAAGTGTTTTGCACTTTGTGGTTGAGTTTCAAAAATCACAGCCTGATTTAGTAGCAAGGGCTCATCTTCAGGTATGTGCCATTTGTTTCTACTTTATTCTAGGTACTCATTGCTGAGTATTGTCAGCATATTTGTGAATTATTGACCTGAAACTTTTGAACAGCATCTGCTGGTTCAAGACGGGAAACTCTATGGTCGGGATCCTGTCTTTGCTGTTATTATCCGAGCTGCTGCTTTGCCAGATAATACAAGGAACCATGATATTCAGAAACAGGAATCTATCATTCAACTGGGACAGGTGAAGTGATCTCTTTGTCTGGACTGATTACAGTTTGTCTTTCCATTTTTGTATTTTTGGGGATATGATAGTTTTCAAATCTGTATCTTCTTATATTATGGAACTATTCATTATTTTTCTAACATGATGTTTTATCAATAAAAGCGCTTGATTATGCGTGCACAAGAGGATAGAATATTAATAAAACTTTTTTTCTTGTTGTAATTGTGCATGCAACAGAAGGGGAAGGCTGGTTTTAGTTTTATGTTTATAGATCCTTGCACTGTGTGCTGATTCTAATACATGCGTTATCTTGGGTATTGCAGTTAGTAATCAGTTTGCTAAAAGTTTTATGCACAAATGGTGCATGGCAACGGCGTAAGCTTGGAAAGATTTTACAAGATTGGCGTGTTGTTTATATGCAGGTATGCCACATTATCTTCGAATCAAGATGTTTATTGGGTTTTCTTTGTTTTCAAATTCATTGAGTTGCTCAGGCCTCAATAGGTAATGTGTTTCTGAAGTGATCGTCCTATGAAGCACATGTATCTTGCGTCTATCGTTGTCTAATGTTTCTGTTTACCAAAACCGTCCATTTTAAATGTTGTTTGGAAAATTTATTTATGCTTTTTAAATGTTGATTTGTAGTTAGAGATGGCATTTAGAAAGGAGTTTGGAGACGATGCAAACACATCAAATGATGAGGTATGCTGCTCTTTGAGAATATTACTCTATTAATCATCAAATGCACTTGGAGGCCCCTTGTTTCTATATAAGAGGCTGATGACTTCATCATGTTTTATCTAATCACTTCACACAAGACCATGTTTGTTTTGATTAAATCGTCTCTACAATGCCATCATATTTCGTTTGATAATGAGTAAGCATAGTGAAACCTAAATGCAAAAACCAGTATAATTTTGCTTATCCAGTTTGGCTTTTGAATTTCCACAGAATATCAGCGTGAAACTCTTCCAACACATCCTTCTTTGGGTGGAAAAGCAAACATACTGGATAGCTTCTCGATTTCTCATTTTAGGTTTTGAATTGGAGCTCTATTCGCTCAGTGAATATTGCATGGTATATTGGTATATCTATGTTGTCCTGCTCAAGCTTGCACAGAAAACAAATCTTAAGAGGGTGTTGTGCAATGGCAGTGGTAAATATTCTTATACCCTGTAAACTTAATCAATCTGTGTGAATTATCTTGTACATTTGTGTGTGATATGGCTCTCCAAAGATAATTTACTTCACTTATGCACCATCTGATGCATCCTGTGTTTTTGTTGTTCAGGTAAACGGAAAGGAAAAAAGAAAAGGGATTCTGTTAAAGATGTGGCACAAGATTATTGGATTCCACCTGCAGTCTTGTTTCTTCAGTGCCAAATATGTCTGGCCGAAGGACTTACAATGGTAATTGTGCTTTAGTTTCTGCATTATGAGTTGAAGAATGACCACTTCCAGGAAGTACCATTTAAGATGGCTGTCTAGAGAGTAGGGTCTTTTTGGGCCTCTGACGGTACTAAGAAATTTGTTTAAATCATCAACCAGGCCATTTTATATTGTTAATCTAAGGAAAGGTCCTGTCCGTGTTCATAGAATAAATTTGTGCGTCAACTATTTCACCTCAAAACCTCAGTTTAATGAATTCAATGTTTCCAGATGCTTGCTGCTTTGAAGAACGACCACATGCTTGTACAAAGTGGAAGCCCTTTTAATACTGAGCATGAGGTATACTTGCACGATCCAGTTTCCAAAAAAAAAATACTTGCACGAAACGCATATTGGGAGCTACCTTAGAAGTCGCTGTTTATTTTTTATGAATTTATAGTTTGCACAAGTTTCTGACCAATTAGGTTTCGGAATGTCCTTTGTGTTCTCACTTCTGCAGAGGTTTATTCAGCACTTTGAGCTCCTACAGAAAGCTTGCATTCCGGACCATGTCTCATTCCCCCTGTTCGTGGAATCTACAACCCAAGCTCATTTATCCGTGAGTGAATTTTCTGTTAACACTGGTCGGAGTTTCCTTGATATTCCGGTAGGCTTACTGTTACCTATTCCTTTTTTGCAGAACCTAGTTATGCACGATTACTTTAAGGATGCTCAGAAAATCGCAAAGAAGGTCAAGAGTAGTTTTTCGAACGACCCAGAAAAATTGGCTGAACTACGAAGGCTAGAGCAAGTAGCTGAGCACAATAGCATTGCCTTAAACGTGATTAGCCGAGCTGGAGCCAGTGACCCCTCACTCAAGGTTTATTTCGAGTTCAACCACCATCCGTGCTTTGCAACGGCTGTTGTCCGAAGGTTGTGAATGTGACATTTAACCATCTCTACCAATTTTGAAGCACTCGCTCAATCCAGAGGCGGAGTCTTGTAGCATAGCACTTGTAATATCAATTTTTCCAGCGTTATTTTCAACTATTCATTTCATTAATTTTGTAATCTCAATGAATACACTATAAAACCATAATTATGTGAGCTCTTGTCCTCCCTCCTTCTCATCCCCATTGGGCGGTTCGGGAGCGGTAGGAGGGGCAACGGTAACAGTATCTCAAATCAGTAACATACTGTAATGTGTTTATCGTATGACAGTATGTTATATAAGTCCTTTATGGTAGGCTTTATATTGAAATTTCTCGCTTTATGGTGGTAAAGCAAAAGCATGAAAAGACAATGCGACTAATGGCCAACTTTGAATTTGAATCTTGATGGATCCATCTGGGATAAAGGAAGTCCACCAAAACTGAATCAAAATTGATCTAAACACACTTTAACGGCTTCCCCCATTACGAAAAATTCTTGAGTCCGACAAGTGGACCATCACTTGTCGGGCCATACATACAAAATGAGAGACTCTTGCGTTGAAAGCGGGATCAGTAAAGAGTGTGGGATATCATCAATACAAGGAGGTTTCACCCTTGGTTGACGTGGTCTTCTTGTCGGACTCAAAAATTTCTCGTAACTACGCAGATTCATTCTAGTTTAGAAGTTTCAATTTTCAAATGTGGAATTCTTGATTGGAAGTCTATGCTTGGACCTCTCAATTGGCATTTTTCATTTGGTTCTTCATCTCCTATAGGTTGAATTGTACGTATCGGGTCTTTAGACCTCTGGATATGCAAAAGTCAGCCGTCGAAGAAGAAGCGACAAGATTTGGAGTAGATGGATGGGGCGTGCACGGAATCTATATACAACAAAATCTTGTACCAAAAGTGCTATCTAGCACCAGCTGTTGACATCTTTTTAGTTGTTTTTGTTACTAGAGTGGATGAAGCCCCAATTTTTTTTTTTTTTAAAATACGATATGGAGAGTAGTGGAATTCGAATTTAAATACAAATAAGATATATATTATTTCGGTAAATTGACTTAAATTATAGATGCAAAAAATTTATATTTAACGATAGAGAGATCTCTCCTAACGGATTGAGATTCATTCGGAACCTTTACGTTCAAAATCTATAGACCGAGAGATTTGGACCGCTCTATTACAATCCTACAACTTTTTATTAGCTCTTCTCACTGACCCCTTTCATAAAATCTAAAAATTTGAACAGCTCGAATTTCTTTGCTCTCTTAAACAGTCTGGATCTCTTGATTTGCGAACTCCAAACAGAGTCCTAGCGGATCTCATTCCCTCCTAACCTAGCTGGAATCATCAGTGTTTGAATCTATGCATGCACCCTGTCAAACAAAAACTATGAAGTTTCCAGAACGTGGTTTCAAAACTTATTTAAAAATAAGAAAGAAAATTGTATTGTTTTTTCTTATTGTTTATTTGGAGGGTGTGATCGTCTTTTTGGTAAGTAGCTTAGGGAATTAGGATCTGTGCTGGCAAATGGCAATGCATTCAAAAAGTAAATTGTAAACCCCTAACAATTTGGACAACATAAATCAACACAAAAATGAATTGTGTAGTTCTTTTGGGAAATTGAGGATGTGTTATGGCTTGGTCTCACTTCTTGTTTGTGTGTCTTACATGAGAAAAATTTACGTAGGTCACTTAAATCATTCGTAATATCTGATTACTTTCACAAAATAGAGCTCCTTGTATTTTGATAGTCTCATCCAACCCAATTGATCACACTTAGTATGCGAGTTGCTTCAATCAGTCAGTCATACCAAAGTTTCTCTGTTATACGATATTCTATATAGAACAATTTCTCGTTTGTCTAAATTAACCTCCTCCATTAGATCTCTTTGTTATAATTTGTGCGTCTTGTACAACGAGAAAAATTTATGTAAAACACTCAGACCACTTGTAATGTCGCTTACCACTCGTATTTTTCTTGGTTGTCTCAAATTAACGTCCAACATTAAAAGTTAAGCAAAGAGAGTTATGTTCGATATGCTACGTGGCTTGTTGTTTTCACATGTCACGTCAGTACCAATGGCTAACTACTTTATGCTATAATTTTGTTTGGCTGAAAAATGTTGGTGAGCTAATAAACTAAAGAAATTTGGTGTGACCGTTGAGCTTTATTTTTGGGATATTTCTTTTTATCAAAAAACAATTTTAATTATTTTCTTATTTATTTCTTAATTTTCGAAATATTTCCCAATGGGATAGTCAATTTTGTAGTCCATGATTGGAATTATGATAAAGAGATAGACAAGAATACATTCTGCAGGACACATGTTTTGGTCTGGATTGAGATTCACTCTAAATCTGTGTTCGGAATCTGCAGACTAACTACTCAATTTCAACCACATGTCTTAATTAACTCATCCGATTTATCCATTTCACAAAAATCCAATAACTTGAATGGCCTCTCTCTCTCTCTCTCTCTCTCTCTCTCTCTCTCGGTCCACAAGGTCTAGACACAGGGATCCGAAAAGCTACTGCTATATATTCCCAGCAGAAAAGAATCATGGCCAATAATTGCCGGAATTTGTCAAAATTTATTATTTGCATGTGATTAGGTTGAACGTTGAAAATGATTGCTAATTTTTTTTTTCATGTTAAAATTAATATATTCAAATGAGTTGGGTGGAAAATTATTTTATTTGCTAATAATGGAAGGGCCACTATTTTTTTTGAAACAAGGAAAGGCCACTATTAAGTACTAAGTAGAGTATAATCACGATTAATACTCGAATTAGCTGGCACTAATTGTTTTTCTTGTTTCCAAGCAACTTTCATTTCCTGTTCTTGGACCATAGTTTTCTTATGGTATGGATTGGATTCGAAGAGTTGTCCTAAAGTGACTTTCTAAAAATAGATCCATCAACGTTCTTATATCTCTAAAGATATTATCGTTTGTACAATTATCTAGATCTCGCCCCTCTTTAATTAATTAAGAATTACTCTCTTAAAACATCCTCTTGTGAAACCCAATTATGATTGATTGATCATGAATTCTTTGATTAATTAAGAATTACTTAATTAATCAAGGAATGCTCAATACAAATATACTCTCTTGTAAAAAAAGTTTATGGCTAAGTAAATTCACTTTACTTGGAAAAAAGTTCAACGTTCAAAGATGCGAGGAAAATGCATATTTAAAATGAGTTTGATACTTTTGACAAAAAAAGAGTTTGATACTATTGTCGCGTATTCAAGAATTTCTAATGGACTCCTAAACGAGCTCCTAACTAGAATTTTGAGAGTTTTTTTTTTTTTTTTTTTAAACAACTTTAATCATGCTTCACTTTCTAAAATAGGAATTCATCTACGAGCTCCTCCACATAGGGAGGGAAAAACGAGCTCTGGTGACTTAATAATTAATGCTTACTGTTTTCATATTATTTTAAATAAATGAATAATTTTTATTAGCTAAGTATTGACTAATAGTCGATATAACCCTCTAAAGCAAAGAGTATGGTTGAAGGACATCTTCTTTAGAGAGCTTTTTAAAATAATTTGTTGAAAATTTTAAATAGAACTTTACTATAAATAGATAACATGATTGAAGATGTTTTTAATGCGTTCTAAATATATTTTGTAAATATTTTACATTTGTTAGAAGAGTTGCACTATTCACATACTGATTTTTAATTCTCATATATTTTTCTCATTTTTTAATTGTCGGATCGAATGAATTGAAAAAAATTTAATAAAAAAATATTAACAAGAATGTGTAAAGTTAAAAAATGTTGCGCAAATAACACTACTTTGTTAGAGAAGGGGAAAGAAAATCAAATGAATCACATACGTTGATATACGCGGCAAGATTAAGGGGCGGAGGGGAGTAAAAAAGGGCGGCAGTAAAGCATCGTAGAGAATTACTACCCCATCTCAGACAGCCGTATTTTCTGTCTTTCTGACAGATGGGAAATTCAGTCAAATTAATTAAATAATTAAAACCAAAAAGAAATTTAATTTATTTTTATTAAAAAAAAAAGAATGTAATTGTCGAAAGCCGCCGACGGGCCAACCAAAACCGAACTCTTTCTTCTGGTCGACTTTTCTTCTTCTTCGTCTTCCTCTTCTTCTTCCTCTTCTGCTTCTGCTCTCGCTCTCTCTCTCTCTCTCTCACATCAGTTCGGTTTCAGGTAAGTCAAGTCCTCCGATCTCTCTTTCTCTCTGCTTTCCTCTCTCTCTCTCTCTCTCTCTCTCTCTCTCTGCCATTTCGTTTATTTCGAGCTGCAACTACTGGCTACTGGGAAATTTGACTTCTTTTTTTGTTTGGTGTTTTGGATTGGATTCAGTGGGTTTCTGAGTATTTGGTGCTGAATTATTCAACTTTTTAGTATGTTATGTGGTTAGCTGTTCGTTTTTTAGCTAGTTGGATCTGACTTATGAAGCTGGAATTTGGAAATTTAGGGTTTTTGGATGTTTGTTGGAGTTTTCTGTCAGCTTGTATTTGAATTTATCGTAGATTTGATATTTTGAATGGTGGGTGAGTTGAGTGCTTTAGTTTGATTTAAAGTTTTGGATCATTTCTTCTTGCTTATTTATTAGTTTTGATTTATGGAATGAAAAGAAGATTGAATTTTTCGGGTTTCGATGTAGATTTTCGATATATAGAGGAGTGGGAGAATGTCAGGAGGTACACAGAAGAGCATCAGGAAAGCTCTTGGAGCCCTCAAGGACACCACCACAGTTTCATTGGCTAAAGTCAACAGTGATTACAAGGTATTGTGGTTTATTTGTGGTTGTTTCCCATAGTTCTCGGAGTTATATGTATCCGATTTTCGTGATTGGGGATTGATTCTTGCAGGAATTGGACATTGCGATAGTCAAAGCTACGAATCATGTTGAGCGTCCCGCTAAGGAAAAGTACATTAGAGGTAGACTATCTCTATAAAGATCAGCTGTGCATGTTGTATTTTTCATGATCTGCATCTGGAGAAAGAGTTGGTAAATCATGCCTGATACGGTTTATGTTTTTATTTATTGTTAAGCTATTTTTGCTGCCGTTTCTGCTACAAGACCTCGTGCTGATGTCGCATACTGCATCCACGCTCTTGCAAGGAGGTTAGCAAAGACACATAACTGGGCGGTATGTGCATTTTCTCATCCGGTAGACATACAAGAAGTTATCATTGACAGGAACTTTTTGATTATGTATCTATAACAGCAATAATCTTCATCTTGATTATCATTCTTAGACAAACACAGCAAGTTGCAATTGCGTCTTGCTTG